AGAGGCCAAGAATGAGTTTTGCCTGTGTCTACAGCTGAGAGGCTGAGAGCTATCTTGGTTGGAAGTCGTCCTGATTTATGGACTGTATCCTGTTTCCTGAGTTGTTCCAAGTTGATCCTGAGATTGAATTATAACCTGTTACTTCCCTAATAAACCCCATAATCATGAGTATGGTCTATGAGCTATATGTGGCCATTGCAACAAATTACTAAATCTGGTAGAGAAATAGAGCCATAGGAGGAATGACTGGTGTCAGATTGGTAAAAGGTTGGAGAGTGGAGGCATGTCTGACTGCCACCTCATAGGAATCAACTTTAGGTTAATTATCCTCCCCTTTATGAAGCAAAAGAACTTCAAAGGCTACTGTTTTCAGTTATAAGCAAATTACCATGTTGTAGGCGAATAGAAATTAATCCCTCTGAGGAGCCTTGGTGGTGGTGGTTATGTGCCATGGAGTCGGTTCCGACTCATAGCGACCCTGTATAGGGTTTTCAAGGCTGTCAATCTTTATGGGAGTAGAAAGCCTCATCTTTTTCCTGTGGAACAGCTGGTAGTTTCGGACTGCTGACCCTGAGGTTAGCAGCCCGATTTGTAACCACTACACTACAGAACTCCTTAGGCTAATGCAAAACATGCACTTTAGAATTATCCTATGGTATTTACACACCATTTCCACTCATTCATTGGCTGCAGTTTGCTTTCAGGGAGTGTTAGTTCTCGGACATTTCTAGCTTTCTGTTCTTAGGTGGACCAGGGAAAATACTCAGGCAAAAAGATAGAGATGCTGCTATTTGAGGTTGGTGACACATCCCAATGATAAGTCTAGAAGGATATGGGTGGGGACAATGCCAGCAGCCACTACAACCTTTAAGAAGCTTGGTAAGTCATACTGAATCTCAACTAAAATTACACAGTATGACTATGAACTAGACCAAGTCAACTTAGTTTTCTAAATTAGGGTTTTATCTAAGAAAGAGATTTGATACTACTGGAAGATTCTAGGATGTGAGGAAAATCCATGTTTAAGTGTTCAGACTGGACAAGGTAGTGAACGGAGAACTAATTTAGTTCATACTTCTGGTCTCTACCAGAAGACAGGTAGTGAGTGCCTGAGAACATACCAATATACGATCATCAATTAAATACAAATACGGTAGCACAGTGTCTCAGAGAAAACAGACAATATCAATTTACACAAAGAAACAAAACAGAGTGCCTCAAACAAGTGACCAAAGTACAGAATCAGAAATATAACCCCCAAAATTGTATTGGAACTACCTGATAAGGAATTTAAAAGAATGCCAGCTAGGCAAATTCAATAGACTAAACAACTGCAGATGAAATCCAGGAAAACTTGGACAAAACTATAGAAGAATTTAGGAAACAAATGGACAAAATAAATGAAAATGTGAGAACCATACAAAAACAGCATTTAGAAAGCCAGGAGAGTAACACTAAGACTTCAGAAGTAGACTGTACACTAAGTTGAACCAATAGAAGGCTAAATTACTGACCTTGAAGAAAAATATCTTAATATTCATCTGCTAGAGGAACAATCAGAAAAAAAAGAACTAAAAAATTCAAAGAAAGTCTAAGATTTATGTGAGACACTATCAAGAGAAATAACTTATGTATGACTGGAATTCCAGAACATGAAGAAACAAAAAAACAAAACTACAACAAAACAAACAAAAAACCATAGAGAATATTATCCAAGAGTTGTTGGAAGAAAACTTCTCTAAAATTATGCAAGACAAAAAGATGGCTATTCAAGAAGTTGGAAGAACTCCAAGCAGGATAGACCCTACAAGAAAAACACTAAGACACATTATAATCGAGCTTTTCAAAACCAAAGATAAGGAAAGAATCCGGAGAGAAGCTCAGGGAAATGAAAAGTGACCTACAAAGGAGAAAGCTCTGGTTTCTCAGCAGAAACCATGTGACAAGAAGACAATGGAATGGCATATGTAACACTCTGAAAGAGAAAAATTGCCAACCAAATATCATATATCCAACAAAAGTGTTCATCAAATATGACAGTAAAATTAGGTCATTTTCAGATAAACCAATTAAAAGAATTTATAAAAACCAGACCAACCTTACAAATCATACTAAAGGCAGTTCTTTGGACAGAGAACCAACAACAGCAAACAACAGCCTGAGACTAACATACTTCACAATATCACTAGACTAAACCCAGATATAGACGTATTCAAGGTAAAACAAAACCACAAGACTGAAACTAGATAACCAGAGACATAGTTGCAACAAACAATCACGATAAAGTAAAAAGAGGGAATAATATAATACAAAAAAGTCAACTAGCCAATAATTGCCAGTGGGATCAATTCTGACTCACAGTTTATCAGAGTAGAATTATGCTCCATTCAGTTTCCAGTGGCTCTCTGGAGAAGGATCTCATGTTTGGTAAGGTGGAAGGTCAGAGAAAAAGAGGAAGACCCCCAGTGAGACGGATTGGCCAAGTGGCAGCATTGATGGACTCAAGCGTGGCAACAGTAGTAAGGTTGGCCCAGGATCCGGCAGTGTTTCATGCTGTTGTGCATAGGGTTGCTATGAGTTGGTACCGACTTGATGGCACCTAACAACAACAACAAATGGTCTTTCAGAAGTAGATCATCAGGTCTTTCTTCCAAGGCACTTCTGGGTAAATTTGAGTTGCCAATCTTTCAGTTAATAAGAAAGATAGTTGCTGTCAAGTCCCGTCCAACTTATGGCAACCCCTAGTATGAAACTGCACTTTTTTTTTTTAATTTTGGGATGGCAGTTTTTTTTCCTGTAGCAGTACTAGTGTAGTGGATTAAAACAACAAAGGATCGTTTTTGGCTCACATTAAAGGTCCACTGTGGGTCAGATGGGCTTCAGGTTGATGTACAGTCCACCTCAAACATTGTTTACAAAAGGAAACTGAGCCTGATGAAGGTTACATTGGCTCTCAGCGTTCCCACCTGAAAGTGAAACATAGCGCTCATACCCACATTTCATTGGCCAAAGCAAACGGATGGGGAAGTTCAATCCTGCCATGCATCAGAAAATGTGTCAACATCCCTAACACCCACCACACTTAAGATGGTTCATTTCTTTCCTGTAACAATCTGAGTAAGTGGGCCCGTCTTGCACGACATCAACACAACGTAAGGATCCCAGGCTTGCTCTTTTTTACTTGTTCAGTATTATCTCCAGGATACTGCCTTCATCTTCATGGTAGAAGTCAAATCACCACCAGATTTCTATTCCAGCCATGCTTTAGAAGCATAACTTGCAAGTTTGAACATCAGTTCCACTCACATCCCATTGGCCAGAACAAAGTCACCTGGCCACACCTAGCAAGGGAAGCTGGGAAATGTGGTCTTTGGCAAGTAACGAGAAGAAAGGAGAGCAGATACTAGGAGAGGGTGACACCAGCAGTTCTGTCATAGCAGCAGCTTGGGGAACCCCCAAAAACAGGGGTGTCACTATCTTCAGCACACTCAGTCCTGTATAAAGTGAGGCCTACTTTTCTTTTATTGTGAATTATGTGATAGTTTACATGGGAAAACACCAGCCCCACATTCATCCTATCCTACTTTGCTTCAGTGCAATGATTACAATTCCCCACATGCATCATCAAACAACCAAAGAGTACACCCCACAAGCCTGCCCCCTAGCTGTCAACACTCAGACCTTTTCCCTCCCAGAGTCCAGAGTCCCCAGCCACTCCATCTCTCCGCGTCATCGTCAGCTCTGCCTCCAGGCGTTGCTGCTTCTCTGGACAGGGTCCCACACTCTGCTCCTCTCCCTTGATGGTCCCAGGGAACCCCACTCCTGGACTACAAAATCAACCACTCCCCTAAAGCGAGCCCTACTTTATGTGCATGTGTTTCCAAGGAGTTATTTGTAAATTAAAAAATTTTCATGACCTTAAATGACCACTTTAGAGATGCCTCATTGTCATTTTTTATTGATCTGATTATTTATATCCCACATTGTTCCAAAAAGATATAGTAAAGAGACTTCCATGGGTAGGGAGGCTAACATACTAGCTTAAAGTTTATTTGCTTCTTGTTTTTCATACAAGTGTAGGTTGACATTTCAAGACACACCCCAAATGCCAAAGTATTTTAAACATATTTTTATTATGATAAATGTATGTAATAAAAGATTTGCTATTTCAACAATCTTTACATGTATAGTTCAGTGACATTAATTGCATTCATCATGTTTTTCGATGATCACCCTTATCCATTCTCAAATTTCCCATCCTAAAATACTTTTGTATTATGAATGTTTCTGTTGTTGTTAGATGCTGTTTGTTGAGTGGGTTCCAACTCAGAGTAACCCTATGCACAACAGAACGAAAATCTTCACAATTGTTGCTACATTTGAACCCAATTTTTTTGCCACGATGTCAATCCATCTTGTCCCTCCATTTTAACAAGCATGATATCCTTCTCCAGGGACTGGTCCCTCCTAGCAACATGTCCAAAGTATGAGAGAAGAAGTCGTAATATGAATAACCAGCCCCAAATTGATTTATTTTGTAAGTTGGGAATTTTAACTTTTGGACTTTTGTGAAAATGTTCAAAGCATTTTCCCAGTCTTCAAAACTAAGTGCTGATTTCATTTTTACCTGTAATCCTCCCTGGGGAAGACTGCAGGGAAAAAAAGGACTGTAAATATTCCTATTTGTCAAGAAACTCTAAGGCAATTAATCTCAGTTTCTTACGTTCAAGAAGGAAGTACTGTATTGGGTGGCTTTCAGGAAGTAAAATCCACTTGATAAAACCCAGAAGAAAACTGAAACTTTTCTTCAATAGAATGTTTTGCAATATCTTCAATGGCTTATAGAGGTATGTGCTTTTGACTGTTCATGGAAGAGTGTCTGTGTGTGTTTAAGTTGGCAGCAGTACATGACAACTGTGGTAGAGATCAACTAACTCTGGATGTATTGGATTAAGGGTCAAGGCCTCAGCTCTGATATTTTTTTCCTTCACAAGGGGAGTTTCCCCTCTCCACTCCCTAGTTTCTTTTCCCTGGCTGCAAATGATGGGCTGCTGAGTCAGCTCTGGTTTTCAGGAAGTCAGATGATCTTTCCCTTCCTAGTTATCTGCCTCTCCCTGCCCCAAGGTAGACGCTATGGACCCTTTGGTGATTCTCCTTTGCCTGCTGCCCCTGTACCCAGGTAGGAGGCAAGGGAGGGATGGTATCAGGGTCCGCTTGGCCAGGCCACTGCTACCCAGGTCTAGTTCCCATGTGTGAAACGGATGATCTCACTTACTTTCCTTTTCTCATGAGTGCCTTTCTTCTTTTCTACCTTTCTGTCTTGTGTCTTTATGCCCACAGGCCTGGCTGCAGCCACTCCCTCCTGCCCTCAGAACGTGAATATCTCTGGAGGAGGCACGTTCACCCTTAGCCAGGGCTGGGCCCCTGGGAGCCTGCTCACCTACTCCTGCCCCCTGGGCTACTATCCATCCCCTGCATCACGACTGTGCAAGAGCAACGGACAATGGCAGACCTCTGGAGCCAGATCGCTGAAGAAGGCCGTCTGCAGAAGTGAGACTCTTTCAGAGCTAGTCCAGGGCACTCCACCAGCGACTGCTCCAGAACTTCTATTAGGGTGTTGCTCACGGTTGGCCTTGACCAGTCTGAAAGGGGTGGGAGGAATGACAAAACTGCTTTGATAGGGTGCTTTTCAAAATATATGGTCCTAGTGTGGTGTAGGAGTCCTGGTGTGGCGCTGTGGGTTAATGCACTATGAAGTGGGCGGTTCAAGCTCACCAGTCGCTCCTCAGAAACCCTATACAGGGTCACTTTGAGTCGGAAGCGACTCAACGGCACTTGACAACAACAGTGTGGTGTAAGTGGTTTGCGATAGGCTGCTAACCTAAAGGCTGGCAATTCAAATCTACCCAGGAGTACCATAGAAGAAATACTTGGGAATCTGCTTCCATAAAGATTACAGCCAAGAAAACATTTTAGTCTATGCATACTGAAGAAACACTTACAGATACACCAAACATTTTAAACATAATAATAGAACTCTGGTAGCGTAGTGGTTACAAATCAGGCAGCGGGCCACAAGGTCAGTAGTTCAAAACTACCAGCTGTCCCCCGGGAGAAAGATGAGGCTTTCTGCTCCTGTAAAGATTTACAGCCTTTGAAACCCTGTACAGGGTTGCTATGACTCCACGGCACACGACAACAACAACAACAACAATAATAATAATGTTTTCATGTGTGTCACAGAGTAGTGTCCTTTGTTAGTAAGAACTGTTGTATATAACTCTGCTGTAACTTAATGGGACCGTGGACATATATGCAATTGGACATTGCCCAAATGGAGGTTATGTGGGGTATGACTGTATTTAATAACTGAGTGGGTAATATTGACCGTCCAGAATAATGCTGATGGAGCAGGGCCATCGTCACCTTTTGTGCCAGGTGTTCTTCTTTAAATTACCCTGTCATGGGGACATCCGAGGATCCTAGGGGAAGGGCTAGGGGTGAGGTATGACCCTCAGGGCACTGAAGAAGGTTCAATTAGACTTGAACTGGATGAAAGTGCCAATATTCAGCCAATTGCCAAAAGCGGCATTTTCATGAGTTTCACCCTAATATTTCAATAGTTTGACAATCCATATATCTCTGCTGAGTTTCACCCACTTGATGTCCAGCCCAGTCATTAACCATCCATCCCTGTGCTCACACTGCAACACACACTCCTCCCTCTCTTCTCTCCCTCTAGGTGTTCGCTGTCCAGCCCCTGCTTCCTTTGAGAATGGCATATACACCCCACGTCTGGGATCCTACTCCGTGGGCAGCAACCTCAGCTTTGAATGTGAAGATGGCTTCACACTGCGGGGCTCCCCTGTGCGGCAGTGTCGCCCCAACGGCATGTGGGACGGAGAGACAACTGTGTGTGATAATGGCGGTAAGGATGCTGACAGAGGGGCTATACTGGGGTTGGTGTGAGCAGGTGGCCTGGTGTTACCAGCGTGCCCAATAATATTCCTGGGTTCTGGTAAAGGAGGTCTACAAGTCACACATTAAGTCTGCCGTTTGTATTATGTTTCAGATTCAACATAATGGCTCTAAACACTCATCCAGTTCTTCTAAATGCCTCAAAGCAAGACTTGGTATACAGATTCCATGGATTCTTCTAGGGAAGATAGGGTGAAAGAGAGTCTAGTATTGTGCCTAAGTGCCTTAGGTTTAGGTTCAAAGCCTGGTTGCCCTTTACCATCTTTGGCAGGTTGTCTAACCTCTCTATGCCTCAGTGGTTGCATCTGTAAAATGGGGATAGTAATAGTACTGACTTCATGGGTTTGCCATGTGGATTAGATGAGTCAATAATAGTAAGCATCTAGAACAATCCCTGGACTCTGGGAGGCACCACGTGTGCTTCTGCCATGGCTTTTACTGCCTCTGTGAATGATGAGTGCTATGCTTGGCAGAAGTGGGGCTCCCGGTATTCCCCAATGCTGCATTTGCCTGTGGATTTTGGCTACTTCCAGGATCAGGGTTCTGAGCATGTAATACAAAAATGCAGAGTCTTCAAGATGACAGGACCATTCCTCAGCCAGTGGCCCAACTGACTGGTCCCTCCCTACTCAGGCTGTCAACTTTTCCCCAAATAGTCATCTATTCAAACATTAATGTAATTGACTTTTTCATTGAGGTATGATCTGCCTACAGTAAAGTCAAAACACGTTACATTTCAGCTTGGTAAATTTTTACATATGTAGCTACCTATTTAATCACCACCCAAGATAGTGAACACATCTAATATCCCAGGAGGCTCCCTCCTACTTCCATCCAGTAAATGTCCTCGCCCAAAAGTAACCAGTTTTCTGACTTCTAACTCCATTGATTAGTTTACTTATTCTGGGACTTCATGTAAGTGAAATGATACAAAATGTACTCTTTTGCATTTGGCTTCTTTCCCTCTGTGCTATTCATCTGTGGTGAATGTATTAGTAATTCTTTTTTTATTGCCGTGTAATATTCCACTCTGAATATACCACAATTTGTTTATACATTCTCCTATTGAAGGCACTATTGTTTCTAGTTTAGGACTATTTGTACACATCTTTTGATACAAATATGTACTTGTGGGTTTTTTTTTAATTAATTATTTTTTTTTAGTAAATACTTTGGAGTGAAATTGTTGGGTCACAGGTTGGCATAAACTTAGCTTTAGGTTGGCCAATAGTTTCACCAATTCACACCACCTCAGCAATGTAACAGAGTTCTGGTTGCTCTCCATCTCCATCTGGGATTATCTATCTTCTTCGTTTTAGTCAGTCTGGTTAGTGTGCACTGCTGTCTTACTGTGGCTTTATGAAATACAAATATTCTTGGTGAAAGTATAGGGCTCATCAGATGATGTATAGCCCGTGGCTCTGGGGCATGGGCTACTCTGAGGTTGGGGCTGAGCTTGAAGTGCCTCGGCTGACAATTTAGGCTGAGTTTTGGACTTTTTACCCTATACAGAGTTTTCCATCTATACACCTGGGAAGCACAGTTCCCGTTTTTCTTAAGGGGGAGGCCAAGGAACTCTCAGAAACCAAGGGTCAGGAGAGGAGGAAGATCCTGGAGAGAGAGAACAGTGAGCAGGGCTGTGTGGCTGGAGGAGGCTAGGCTACGCTGCTCACTTTGGTCTTCCTTTGCTCACTCATAGCTGGCCACTGCCCAAACCCGGGTACTTCGGTGGGTGCCGTGCGGACTGGGTCCCACTTTGACCTTGGGGATAAGGTCATTTACCGCTGCTCCTCAAGTCTGGTGCTGACAGGGTCCAAAGAGCGGGAGTGTCAGGAGGACGGGGTCTGGAGTGGAACAGAGCCCATCTGCCGCCGTGAGTAACCATCTCCTGAGACTTCTGAGCACCCCTCTCCCCCTGAAGCTGTTGACAGTCCTGTGGCTCTTGTCACAGAACCCTACTCGTATGACTTCCCCGAAGATGTGGCTCCTGCCCTGGGCTCCTCCTTGTCCCACTTACTTGGAGCTACCAATCCCACCCAGAAGAAGAATGGTGAGTACTTGAAGTGGGAGCAGCCGGCCTAATGCAGGGGAGGGAGAGAACTTCCTAAAGGCTGGGGATCCACAGCTGGACTCAGTGGGGGCTGTGATGACTGGAGGGGAGGGAGAGAGGCCCCAGCCCCCTGGGCAAGAGTGCAGGTAGGAGGTGGAGATCTGAAACCTTCCCTTCTACTTTTCTCCCAGAAAACCTGGGCCGCAAAATCCAAATCCAGCGTTCTGGTCACTTGAACCTCTACCTGCTCCTGGATGCCTCTCAAAGTGTGACAGAGGATGACTTCCAAATCTTCAAGGAGAGTGCTGCCATCATGGTGGACAGGGTCAGGAGTTAAGGGCCTGCAGGCAGGGGAGGTTTTCCTGGATTCACTGTCTCTCTTTGTCTCCTTCTCTTCCTTCATATCCTACCCAACCCACCTCCTCTAACAAGTCTTTCCAGAATAGTCTCATGCCAGGTAGGAATCACAGATTCAATTGACAGGATTATATATTTTTATTCCTCATGCACTAACAGGAACCTACTGTGGGTCATCCACTTTACTGGGTACTGGGCTAGAGGGTGGAATCCTTTGGGTGACACAAACAGTTAATACACTTGCACTGAAAAACTGATGGTCCCAACCTACCCAGAGGTGCTTCAGAAGAGAGGCTTGATGAAAGGTCAGAGCCATGAGAACCCTATGAAACATAGCCCTACATTGACACTGACCACTGTGAGTCAGAATGGACTGGCCCGCGACTTGTTGGTTGGTTTGGGTGTTGGGAAGACACTAAAGATGAACAAGGCTGAGTTTCTTCTTTTCAGAAAATCATTATCTAGAACAGTGATCTCCACACAGGTGGAAGAGGAAAAATGGAAGCTAATCCACTGGGGTGCTTCAGAGGGCATATTGGTATCCTTACTTAAAGATTTAAAAATATTTATCTTCCTTCAAATTTTTTAACATTTCATGTTTTAATATACCTATATTTGAATGTTGTTGTTGAGTGCCACTGAGTCGGTTCCAACCTATAGCGACCCTGTACAGGGTTTCCGAGGGTGTAAATCTCTATGGGAGCAGAAAGCCTCATCTTTCTCCCATGGAGCGGCTGGTAGTTTCAAACCGCTGACCTTAAGGTTTGCAGCCCGATTTGTAACCACTACGCTACCAGAGCTCCTTATATATTTATATATATTTGAATAGTGACCCACTTATATCATTTATACATAAATATGCCTCTATTGAGGTATGCGCTCAAAATGTTTTTATCAATGGGATATGCCAACAGAAGAGTTTGGAGGTCACTGACTTAGATTTCTCACTGGCACTTTGGTTTATAATTATGTTTTTTGCGATGATTTATGTAAGTATGTTTTTCTTCCCAACCATGTTTTAGTGGTATCATAAAAGATAGTCTTAGTGGTCTGCTTCTGTTAAGATTACAGCCAACAACCCTACTGAGCAGTACAGTTCTACTGTATAATACCCGAGGACACCATGAGTTAAAATTGATTTGACAGCAACTAACAGTTTAGAAAAGGCAGTGTTTGTGCTCCTCAGAGTCTCTCTTAAGACTAGAGTCAAGTAACTCGCTAAACTGTGAGGCTGGAAAATGCAACAGCTAGAGACATGGTCTCAGAGGCATGCTGGAAGGGTTCAAATCTCCTCCTCTTACTATCAGTGTGATCGGGAACGTGGTAACCAGCTTCAATGTCCTCATTGATACAGTACGGATCATCATACCCTCCTTTTCAGAGTTGATGTGAGGTCCAAATGAGGAGCAAGTCTATCAAGTGACTAGATGCTCATATTCATGTCTTGGCTTCTTTCAAGCAGCCATTTCTTAGTCAGTACCTACCCACGGACCAGGAGTATTGGTGTGGCACTGTGGGTTAATATGCCAGACTGCAAAGCCATTTGAATTGCAAGGTCAGCAGTTCAAGCTCACCAGCTACTTCTCGGAAACTCTATGCAGGGTCGCTATGGGTTGGAACCGACTCGATGGCACTTAACAGCAACAAAAACCCATGGACCAAGTTTCCTTGCATGGCCTTCACTCTCTTACCATTTCTTCTTTGATTTCAAAGTCCCTCATGCTGCCTCTCACTTGTTCTTCACAGCTCTTTAGCTTTGAGATCAAGGTTAGTGTCGCCATCATCACCTTTGCCTCAAAGCCCAAAGTCATCATGTCTGTATTGAACGAAAACTCCCAGGATGTAACTGAAGTGATCAGCAGTCTGGAAAATATCAACTATAAGGGTATGGGTGTCATCAATGAGGTGATGGGAGAGAAGGGGGTGGCTCCTGTGCCTAGAGACAATTTCTGGATGAGTCAGAGAAAATGAGATCTCTGGGTAGCATCCAAGTCCCTGAACTCTGGGGCTTTGATCCCTCAAGCAACGGAGGTAACTTCCAAATCCAGGGTCTTGGTGGGGGTTAGGGGTGGGGTCCCAAATCCCACTAACTCATGGCTTACTTTGAAGTGTTACAAGTTCAGATGCATCAGGCAGGTCTTCTGCTCTTTGTTGGTGCCAGAATGTCATGTTCCTGAGTGTTCTAAGAAGTAGGTCTGGTTTTCATAGCTCAATACATAGTGGTCTCCCCAGATTGCAATCCATCTATACACTGTAAAAATACCTGAATGATAGGTAGCATGTGGTTAAAAACAACAACAACAACAGCAAAAAACCCAGTAAATTCTTTGGAAATCCCATTTTGGGATCTTGGGATCGTTAAAGTAGTGTTATTGGGGGTTGGAGGTTATGGAAGGCTATTTCTATGTGGATTTCTAATGTTTGATATTTCTAATATTCCCAATGGTTGGGGAATAGACTAAGTCTTTTCCTTGGGGTGATAGGTGGAAAGTTTCTAAGAAAGTCTTTCTTGCCGTATTCCAGACCATGAAAATGGGACTGGGACCAACACCTATGAGGCCCTAAATAGTGTTTATATCATGATGAATAACCAAATGCAACGCTTTGGTATGAAGACAGTGGCCTGGCAGGAGATCCGACATGCCATCATTCTTCTGACAGATGGTGAGTATTGTCAACTCTTTGGATGAGTCCAGCGTAGTGGAAAAAGCATCAATGTGGGGCAGAAGATCTGCATTCTGATTCTCCTTTAGCCTTCTTGGGTCTCAGTTTCTTATTGATAAGGTAGAAATAATGTTGATGATGACAATGATGATAGCTGCTCTCCTTTCCTTGCATAATTTTTGTAAAGAGCAACTAAAGTAGTTAGTGTAAACATGCGTTGTGGTTAGTAAATTCTTGTTATTGCTTTTACCTGGAAGTAGATAGACGGAGTGACGTAACTGGATAGCAGTGGCGTTGAGGTGCATGGATGGGAAGATCAGTCTGGGTAATTGATCTGGGCTTTATCATTTATCTCGTGATTTTGTACACATTACTCTCCAAGACTTCATTTTCTTATCTATAAAATAAGGACACCTAAACACCCTAGGTTTATAATAAAAGTGTGATGAGATAAAACACCTGAAACTCCTGATTCAATGCCTGTTGTTTTGCTAAGTGTCATCCAGTTGGTCCCAATTCATGACAACCCTGGACAGAGTTTGTGAGCATCATCTGGAGAGCTTGAACCACAGACCTTGTGGTTAGCAGTCTAGTGCTTATTCTACCGTGCTACACCAGATTTCCATGCCTAGAATGCAGGAAATTTTGGTAAACAGTATAACTGGGAGTGAGGTGGTTCTATAGGATAAAGACTGGATGTTGAACCACAAAGTCTATAGTTGGTGCCCACTATCCACTCCAAGGGAGAAAGAAGAGGCTTTTTGCTCCACAGATTTAAAGCTCCAGAAACACTATGCAAGATCATTATGAGTCAGAACTTGCTCGATGGCACTTATCAACAACAAAAATATATTTTAAAACTCATGCAAGGATCCAATTGACTAAAAATAATTTATTTAAAGTATTTTCCTTTCTCTGGACTCCTGGTGTGGTGCTATAGGATGGGCACTGGACTGCTAATCACTGGATTGGTGGTTGAGGCCTACCAGCTGCTCCTTGGAAGCCCTATACATGGTCGCTATGAGTCAGAACTGATTGCTAGGCACTTAACAACAAAATCCTTTCTGTACTGCTTTACAATGCCAATTCTGTTATTAACAACATGAACACATATGTCTTGGTCTGTTTTTGATCTCTTTATGCTGTTCCATTGTCTATCTGATTGCTCTTGGACCAATAACTATGCTATCTTAATTAGTATAGTTATATAATAAATTGTAATAACTAACTAGTGGCATACTTTCAACTTTATGAAAAACTTATGCAAGAAATGTAAATGATTAGCCTCTGTCTTGGTTATCTAGTGTACTATAATAGAAATTCCACAAGTGAATGGCTTTAACCAATGTAAATTTATTTTCTCACAGTTTATTATTGTTGCTGTGTGCATTGAGTTGGTTCTGACTAATAGTGACCATGTATAGGGCCTCCAAGGAGCAATGGTGGGTTTCAACTGCTGACTATTAGTTAACAGTCTAGTACTTATCTTCCAGTGGCACACCAGGTCTCACAGTTTAGGCGAATAAAAGTCTGAATTCAGAGTGCAGGTTCTAAGGCAAGGCTTTTGTTATTCCTGTTGGTTCTGGAGGAAGATCCTTGTCTTGTCAGTTTCTGTTTCCTGGTTTCTTAGAGATATCCATATGTCTTGGCATCTATCTTACCCCATCTCTACTTTTCATATAAGGAGCTCTGGTAGCACAGTGGTTATGAGTCAGACTGCTAATCTCATAATCAGAAGTTGGAAACTACCAGCAGTTCCATGGGAGAAAGATGAGGCTTTCGGCTCCCATAAAGATTTGCAGCCTTGGAAATCCTATACAGGGTCACTATGAGTCTGAATTGAGTCCGCATCTCATAACCACCATCACTTTTCATATTTGTTTAATCTATTTTATATCTTAAAAGAGAATAACTCAAAACATACCCTACACTAACCTGGTCTTATTAACATAACTAACACAGTTCATTCTCAAACAGGATTATAGCCATAGTCATAGAAATTAGGATTTACAACACAAATTTTGGGGGGATATAATTCAATTCATAACAGGGTTCCAAGATGGATGTTTTTCCATTCTTTCAGAGCTTTGGGGAATCTTGACAATCACTCAGATGAATGATTTTCTTTTCTTTCCATTCTAGGAAAATCCAATATGGGAGGCTCTCCCAAACCAGCTATTAACAATATCAAAGAGATCCTGAACATCAAGCAGAAGAGGAATGACTATCTGGGTGAGCCTCCACCTTTCCAGTCATGTGTACTTCCTCTGCAGGGGGTCTAGTCATCAGCCAGGGGTTCTGGCACCTTGACCCTGGTACAGAGCTGGATGGTTTTATTTCTGACCACAGACTGTATCATCTGTCAAGTGCTGAAATGAAGCATGTGAAGACTAGAGTCAAACTGCCCAAGATTTCAACCTTGGTTTAACTTTGATTGGCTCTGGCTTTGGACCATTTTTTCATTTGTAACTCAGTGTGTGTTAGCAGTCACTGTTGCCATCATCCTCATCATTTATGTTCCAGGAATTGCCTGGGAATGAGAGGCTTGGATTCCTTGTGGAAACTTCCTGGAATTTCCCCTGTTAGCATTAGAGATGACTAACTCAGTTTCAAACTAAGCACAAATTACACTGATTTCTGACTAGTGAAGAATCTCAGAGACTCTTTAGATGGTTTTGAGTACCATGTTTTACCTTCTCTTTGGGTCCAATCTTTCTTTTTACTAATCGCAAAACATATCTACTCTGCCCCATCCCATTGCTCCTCAGGGAGAAGCTGATTCTTCTTTAAAACTCTGACCCAAGGAAGAAAAAGTCAACTTCCATTCCCTTCTCCTTAGCATCACTGGGCCAGGGTTAAATTCTCAAAAGTGATTTATTAAAAATAAGCAGGATACAGTGAAAGTAGTGCATTAATAAAGAATCATGAGCCAATAACCTAAATGTACAACTTGAAGAATTAGAAAAAGAACAGCAAATAAAAAGAGTGGAAGGAAAGAGATAACGCCAGAACTGAGATAAATGAAATAGACACTACAAAAGCAATAGAATAAGTTAGGTTTTAAAAAAAATTAATAAAATAGACAATTTTTTAGTTAGACTAGCAAAGAGAAAAAAAGACAGAGGATGCTAATGTCTAAAATCAGAAATGAAAGTGGAGACATTAGAGCTAATCCTACAAAAAGTAAAAAAGATCATAAGAGAAGATTATGAAGAATCGAATATCAACTATTTAGATAATCTAGAGGAAATGGACAAATTCCTAGAAACACATAAACTTCCTACATTGACTAAAGAAGAAATAGAAGATCTTAACAGACTCATAACAGGTGAAGAGATTACATTAGTAATCAAAAGCCTCTCAACAAATAAAAATTGACTTTACTAGAGAAATCTACGAAGTCTTTATAGAAGAATCCTTCTTAAAATTTCTCAGAAAATAGAAGAAGAAAGAATACTTTCCTTTTCCCCTTATTACTTTGATACCAAAGCCAGGCAAAGACATCACAAGAAAACTAGACTGATGTCCTTTATGAGTATGTTGCTGTTGTTAGGGGTCATCAAGTTGTTTCCAATTCAACACAACAGAACAAACCACTGCCCTGTCCTGCACCATCCTCACAATTATTATTTTTTTGAGTCCATTGTTGTTGACTGTGTCAGTCCATCTCATTAGGAGTTTTCCTTTACTTTGCTGACCCTCCACTTTACCAAGCATGATGTCCTTCTCCAGGGACTGGTCTATTCTAACATGTCCAAAGTCTTTCTGCCTTTGCTTACAAGGAGCATTCTGGCTGTACTTCTTCCAAGATAGATTTGTTTGCTCTTCTGGCAGTTCCTGATACTTCCACTATGCTTTGCAAAATCCATCATTCAAATATATCAATTATTCTATGATCTTCCTTATTCATTCTCCATCTTTCACATGCATATGAGGTAACTGAAAATACAATGACTTGGGTCAGGCACACCTTAATCCTCAAAGTAACCTCTTTGTGTTTTAACACGTTAAAGTGGTTGTTTGCAGTAGATTCGTCCAATACAATAATACATCATTTGGTTTCTTGACTACTGCTTCTATGAATATAGATTTTGGATCAAATCAAAATGAAGTCTTTGACAAATTAAATCTGTTCTCTGTTTATCATAATGTTGTTTACTGGTCCAGTTGTGAGGATTTTTCTTTTTTTTACATTGAGGTGCAATCCATACTGAAGACTGTAGTCTTTGATCTTCATCAGTATTTTAAGTCCTCTTTATTTCCATCAAGCAACATTATATCAATCTGCATATCACAGGTTGCTAATGAGTCTTCCTCCAATTCTGATGCCATGTTCTTCTTCATATAATCTTTTTTTTTTGCTCAGCACACAGATTAAATAAGTATGGTGAAAGGATACAACCCTGGTGCACAATTTTCCTGATTTTTTAAACTAATTAGTATGTACTTGTTCTTTTTGAATAACTGCCTCTTGGTGTATGTTCTGGATACCCACTCTTCACAATGTTATCCATAGTTTGCTATGATCCACACAGTTGGATGCCTTTACAAAAATCAATAAAACACAAGTAAACATCTTTCTGATATTCTCTGTTTCTAGCCAAGATCCATCTGACCTTGGCTATGATATCCCTTGCTCTATGTCCTCTTCTGAGTCCAGCTTAAATTTCTCACAGCTTCTTGTCAATAAACTTCTGTAACCTTTTTTGAATTATCTTCAGCAAAATTTCATTTGCATGTGATATTAATGATATTGTTTGATGACTGGCACATTCTGCTGGGTTACCTTTCTTTGAAATGGGCACAAATATGAATCTCTTCCAGTTGGTTGGTCAGGTAGTTATTTTTCAAATTTCTTGGCATAGAAGAGTGAGTGTCTCCATTGCTGCATCAGTTTGTTAATACATTTCTATTTGTATTTCATCAGCTCCTGGTGCCTTGCTTTTCATCCATGTCTTCAGTGTACCTTGGACTTCTCCTTTCAATACCATTGGTTCTTGATCACATTACCTCTTGAAATGGTTGAACATTGACCAATTCTTTTTGGTACAGTGACTCTGTGTATTCCTTCCATCGTCTTTTGATGCTTCCTCTGTCATTCAATATTGTTTTTGTTATTAAGTGCTGTTGAGTCAGTTCTGACTTTTACCAACTGTTTATAGAGTTTCCTAGACTGTAAATATTTGAGGGAGTAGTAGAAAGCCTTATCTTTCTCCCTTGAAGCAACTGTCAGCCTTGAACAACCGTTGTGGTTCGCAGTCTAGTATTTATCCTACAAAGGCACCTTGCTCCCTATTTTGCCCATGTTGTTGCTGTTTGGTGCCATCAAGTTTGTTCCAACTCATAGCAACCCTACCCAAAATAGAATGAAACATTCATTGTCTGGTCCTGTGCCATCCTCACAAATGCTACACTTAAGCCCATTGTTGTTGCCACTGTGTCAATCCATCTCATCGGGGCCTTCCTCTTTTTAGCTGACTGTCCATTTTACCAAGCATAATATTCACCTCCAGGGACTGGTCCCTCTTGATAACGTGTCCAAAGTATAAGAGACGAAGTCTCACCATCCTTGTTCCTAAGAAGCATTCTGGCTGTAACTATTGCAACACAGATTTGTTTGTTCTTCTGGCAGTCCATGGTACTTTTAATATTCTTCTCCAACATCATAACTCAAATGCATCAATTCTTTCATGGTCTTCCTTATTCATTGACTAACTTTCACTTGTATATGAGGTGATTGAAAATACCATGGCTTGGGTCAGCCATATCTTAGTCCTAAAACTGGTATTTTTGGTCTTGAATACTTTAAAGAGATATTTTTCAGCAGATTTGCCTAATGTAATAGTTTATGTTGCTTCCATGAATGTTGATTATGGAAACAAGCAAAATGCTTTGACAACTTCCATCTTTTCTCCATTTACCATGATGTTATTTATTGGACAAGTTGTGAGGAATTTTGTTTTCTTTACATTGAGGTACAATCCATACTGAAGGCTGTGGTCTTCTATCTTCATGAGTAACTATTTTAATTCCTCTGTGTTTCCAGCAAACAAGACTATATGATCTAGATATCACAGGTTGTTAGTGAATCTTTCTCCAATTCTGATGTCACATTCTTCTTCATATAACTCAACTTCTCAAATTATTTTGCTCAGCATACAGATTGAGTAAGTATGGTGAAAGGACATAACCTGACACACACCATTCCTGATTTTAAACCATTCAGTATCCTCTTGTTCTGTTTGAACGACTACCTCTTAGTCTATGTATAGGTTCCTCATGATCACAGTTAAGTGTTCTAGAAGACACATTCTTTGCAATGTTATCCATAGTTTGTCATGATGCATACAGTCAAAATAGTAACCAGGTACACTTAATTTCTTCTGGAATATGAATATGGATGCAAAAATCATTAGCAAAATACAGCAAGCTAGAACCAAAAGCACATTTTTTGTTGCTGTTATTAAATGCTGTCAAATTGGTTCCGACCCATAGTGACCCTCTGTAGGGTTTCCAAGGAGCAGCTGGTGAGCTTGAACTGCCAACCTTACAGTCCAAATGGCTTTGCAGTCTGGTGCATTAACCCACAGCGCCACACCAGGACTCCAAAAGCACATTAAGAGGATAATAAATTCCACAATCAGGTTGGATTTCTTCTAGGAATGCAAGGGTAATTCAATATTATAAATAAATCAATAAAAATGTACCACATTAATAGAATAAAGGAATCTCAATTGATACAGAGAAGGTATTTGACAAAATCCAACAACCTTTTATGATAAACACACTTAACAAGCAAGGAATATAAAGGAAAAGTTTTTAAATGATAAAGACTACTTATGAAAAACTCACATTTAGTATCATACTCAATGGAGAAAGACTGAGAGTTGTCTCCTTAAGCTCAGTTGTTGTTGTTGTTAAGTGCTGTCGAGTCGGTTCCGACCCATAGCGACCCTGTACAGGGGTTTCCGTAGGAGGACAAAAATGCCAATTCTCACCTCTACTCTTCAGTATTGTATCGGAAATTCTAGCCAGAGCAACTAAACAAGAAAAGGAAATAAATACTATTCAAATTGAGAAGGAAGACCTAAAACTATCCTTTTTTGCATATGACCTGATCTGATATATTTATGTATATTTAAAGAATCCACGAGAAAGCTACTAGAGCTAATGCATGAATTCATCAAAGTGGTAGAATACAAGGTCAGCACACAAAAGTCAGTGCGGTTTTTATATACCAACAAGAGCACGTGAAAAGAAAACTAAGAAAACAATTTTACGTACAATAGCATATACGGACTATAATGCTTTAGAAGAAATTTATCCTAGGAAGTGAAATAGTTGTATACTGAAAACTTTAAAACATTACTGAGAAAAATTAAAGAAGACCTAAATAAATGGGAGAGTATTACATGTTTATGGATTGGAAGACTTGAGGTTGTTAAGATTTCAGTACTACTTAAAGCAACCAATAGAATCAATTTAATCCCCATCAAAATTCCAATAGCCTTCTTTCCAGAAATGGAAAAGTCAATACTCAAATTTATATGGAATTGCAATGATCCCAAATAGTCAACGCAATTAAATTTTTAAAATTGTTTTTCAGTGACGGTTTATGCAATAAATTTGGTTCCCATTTGACAAGCCACAGAAGTTTTGAAAAAGAATAACTAAATTAAGAGTAATCACATTTCCCAAACTCAAAATATATTATAAAGTTACAGCAATCAAAACAGTCTGATACTGGTCTAATGATAATACCTAAATTGTTGTTAAGTGCCATCGAGTCAGTTCCAACTCATAGCGACCCTGTATAGGATTTCCGAGGAGGGGCTGGTGACTATCTTGCAGTTCAAATGACCTTTGCAGTCCAGTGCTTATCCTACAGTGCCACAGTATAGACCAATGGAATAGAATAGAGTCTAGAAATAAACTTGTACATCTATGTACTTGTACATCTATGCTATTAAGTGCCAGCAAGTCAGTTCTGACTCATAGTGACCCAGATTTTTGAAGCTATAAATCTTTGCAGGAGCAGAAAGCCTCATTTTCGTCCCTTGAAGCAGTTTTTGGGCTTGATCTGATGACTTCTAGTTTTCAGTCCACTGCTTTTCTATAGAGTCACCCGACTCCCTTGCACATCTATGGTCAGTTGAGATTGCTAAGGTTCTTTAATGGGGAAAGAATACTCTCTTTAATAAATGGTGATGGGATAACTGGATTTCTATAAGCCAAAGAATGAAACTGGACCCACACCTCATTCCATATATCAAAACTAACTCAAAGTTGATCAAAGACCTAAATGTAAGAACCAAAACTATAAAACTTTTAGAGGAAACTTTGAGATAATGCTTCAGGACCTAGTTTTTAACAATGAGTTCTTAGCTACGGCACTGAAAGAATGAGTCACAAAAGGCAAAATAGATACATAGGACCTTAGGAAAATTTAAAACTTTTCAAAAGATTTTATTAAGAAAGTGAAAAGACGACCTACAGATTAGGAGAAAACTTTTAGAAACTGTATATGAGATGTTGTTGCTGTTGAGTCAGTTCTGACTCATAGTGACACTGTATAGGGTTTCTGAGGAATGACTGGTAGGTTTGAACCACCGACCTTGTGGCTAGCAGTCTATAGCACCACATCAGGACTCTGTATATATTAAATCAGGGTTTAATATCTAGAATATATGAAGAACTCATACAACATAACATAAAGACACAACTCAATCCTCCCAAATGGGCAAAGGAGTTGAGCAAATAGTTTATCAAAAAAGAAATAAAATGGCCAACAAGTACCTGAAAATATGTTCACATCATTGCTGGTGCTGTTAAGTGCCATTGAGTCAGTTCTGATTCATAGCTACTCTGTATAGGGTTTCCAAGAAGTGGCTGGTGGGTTTGAACCACCGACCTTGTGTTAGCAGTCCAGTGCTTATCCTACAGCGCCCTACCAAGACTTTTCAGCATCATTAGTCATTAGTAAAATGGGAATCAAACCCACAAGATATCACTTTACATCCACTAGGATGGCTCTGATTCACAAACCAGAAAAACAACTAGTATTGGTGAGGATTTAGAGAAATAGAAATCCGCATTGCTGGTAGATATGCAAACTGATACAACTGCTATGGAAGATAGTTTTACAGTTCCCCAAAGAGTTAAACACACATGAGTGCTTTAAAAAGTTCATGGAAAAATTCCAGTATTTTTTATATTCCCATTTTTCCATGAGTTTTTGAAGCCCCCTTGTAGAATTGCCATATGATTCAGCAATTCCACTCTTACGTATATATCCAAAAGAACTGAAAGCAGAAATACAGACTGATATTTGTACACCAATGTTTATTGTAGCACTATACACAATTGCCAAAAGATAGAAACAACCTAAATGTCTATCAACAAGTGAATGGATAAACCAAATGTGGTACATACAAACTGTTGTTGTTGTTAAGTACTATGGAGTTGGTTCTGACTCATAGTGACCCTGTACATGATTACCGAGGCTGCAAATCTTTACAGGAGCAGAACACCTCATCTTTCTCCCATGGAACCGCTGACAATTTTGAACTGCTGACCTTGAGGTTGGCAGTCCAATTCGTAACCACTACGCTACCAGAGCTCCTTACAAACTACTCTGCCATAAAGAGAAATTCAATCCTGATACATACCACAACAACGATGAATCCTGAAAACATTCTGCTATTGCCATAAGTCAGTCACAAAAGGACAGATATCATAGAATTCTACTTAAATGACGTATCTACAGTAAGCAAGCATATAGAGGTAAAAGTTTATTGGTGGTTACAAGAAGCAGGAGGAAGGAAGGGAGAAGGGAGGTGATGGAAAAAAATTGAGACTGAATAGGGTAATGGTTGAACACATGTCACTGAACTATACATGTGGCAATTATTGAAGTGGCAAATGTTTTGTTGCATATATATTTAAAACACACATATATGTTGTTGAATATATAGTTAAAATACATACACACACACAAATAAGTGGGAAACTGAAGGGAAATAGTAAAAAAAGAAAGAAAGAAAGAAAAAAGATAAACAACCCAGGGCATGATAATTGTCTAGCTCCTATTGTAACAGTGTCTGCTGGTTGCTGCTACATTGCTTTCTGGCTGAAGACTTCACTAACTGTTCATCTGAGCACAATCAACACAAGGCCCTCTGGGAGAAAAAAATAGGCCAGGAAGGGTATAAAGGGTAGGAGAAAAATGGGTTCTGTGGACCACCTGTGGGAGGTTCTGATGGTATGTACCCATGCTCAGTGGGCAAGCACAGTAGTGGTGTGGGTCCAGGTTCTCTGGTGGGAAGTGATGACTTTAGGCTCCTCTTCCAGACTGTGCATTCTACAAAGGAAGACCTTGTCTAATATTTTGTCATCATGCAGTGATCATGGAAATTCTAGTAGTGCAGTGGTTGAGAACTTGGTTACTATCCAAAAAGTTGGCAGTTCAAACCCACCAGCTACTCCGTGGGAGAAAGATGTGGCAGTCGGCTTCCCTAAAGATGGAAATCCTATGGGGGCAGTTCTACTCTGTCCTATGGAGCCTCTATGAGTCATTTGACTGGATAGCAATGGATTTTTTTGCTTTTTGTTTTGCTGTGTTCATGATTTCTTTTTATTCCTCCAGTCAGTTAAAAGTACTTACTAAGAGCTTCTCCTGGGCCAGACACCATTCTAAGCACTGAGAATATAGTTGTGAAGCAAACAGATAAAAATGCTGGCTCCATGACATCTAAGCTAAGGTAGACAATAAAGCAGGAAGGGGTATGGAAATATCTGGACCATTGCAGTTTTAGAATTTGAGTTGAGATTGTGGAAACAACCAAAATGTCGGTAGATAAATGGATAAAGAAAATGTGGTGTATACGTACAATGGAATATTGTGCAGATGTAGAGAAATGAAGTTCTGATACGTGCTACACCATGGATGAACCTTGAAAACATGCGGAGTGAAATAAGTCAGTTGCAAAAAGACAAGTATTACATGATTTCATGGATATGAAATAAGCCAATGTACAGAAGCAAAAGATCATTAGTGGTCACTAGTGACGTTCTGGTGTGGCGCTGTAGAATAAGCACTGGACTGTAAGGTTGATTTGAACTGCAAGGTTGACAGTTCAAGCCCACGAGTTGCCCCTCGGAAACCCTATACAGAGTTGCTATGAGGGGGAACTGACTCAACAACACTTAATAACAATAGTAGGAGATGGAGAAAGGGGAAAACAGAGTTTTTGCTTAGGTGGCCTTAAGATTTGGAGAAGAATAGGAAGAACGGTTGTACAATTTGAAGAATGTCATTGATGTCATTGATGTAGAAATTGTTGAACTGCAGAATGTTTTGTGGTATATTTTTTCACTATACACACAAACACAAAGTAAAAAATAAAAACAAACAATAGTAAGAGAGCAGATTATGTGGAAGTCTCAGGGAGGAGTGAACCAGGCAGAGCTCAGCTGGCCTGAGCTGTGGGTGTGCCCGTGAATGTCAGGATACTGACCAGGGAACAGGAGGAACTGATATCAGGTAGGTAGCAGGGCAGGGAGATGCCCAGTTCATACAGACCTTTGTAGGACATAAACCAGAAGCAAACCTGCTGCCAACTAGTCAATACACAGCGATCCTATAGGACAGAGTAGGGAGCAGACTATCGCCTCTTTGTCCAGCAGAGCAACTGGTGACTTCTAACCATTGACATGTCATTAACAGCCTAGCTCTTGACCTCTGTGCCACCAGGACTCCTCTTGTAGGACATCAAAGCAAACCAATCCCACCACCACCGAGTCAATTCTGACTCAGAGAGACCCTCTGTAGGGTTTCTAAGGCTGTAAATATTTATGGGGACCGAAAGCCTCATCTTTCTCTCAAGGAACAGCTAACCTGTACTTAACAGTCCAGTGCTTATGAGTTCCAAATCACAGATCCATCTCTCGGGCAGCCCTTTACCACAGGATTCTGTGTTTTCCTTCCTCCCCATCAGACATCTATGCCATTGGGGTTGGCAAGCTGGATGTGGACTGGAGAGAACTGAACGAGCTAGGATCCAAGAAAGATGGGGAGCGCCATGCCTTCATCTTGCAGGACTCACAGGCTCTGCACCAGGTCTTTGAGCACATGCTGGGTAAGTGGGCTCTGCCCTCTCAGGAGTGGCTGGACGGGGAGCAAGGTAGGGGCCCAGGTTGGGGACCTGGACACAGGCCCCCTTACCTGTCTTCTCCTCCATCTGCTCCTCATACTGACAGATGTTTCCCAGCTCACAGACACCATCTGCGGGGTGGGAAATATGTCGGCCAATGCCTCGGACCAGGAGAGGACACCCTGGCATGTCACCATTAAGGTACTAGGAAGGAAGGGTGGGCCTGGGATCCCAGAAATGAAGGCACCCATGGGCCAGGCACACCACAGGTCCTGAAGACTTCCTGCTCCCCTGCAGCCCAAGAGCCTGGAGACCTGCCGGGGGACCCTCATCTCAGACCAGTGGGTCCTGACAGCTGCTCACTGCTTCCGCAATGCCGAGGAGCTCACTCTGTGGAGAGTCTTTGTAGGTAAGACAGGATGGCACCAAGACTCTGGACCCCAGAGCCTGAGGCTCCTCATCCCCTGCCCTTCAGTAACCCAGGTATGGCCTGATCCATCATGTTGTTTCCAGGGGACCCCAACTCCGAATGGGGCAAAGACTTTCGTATAGAGAAGTTGGTGAAATCTCCGGGGTTTGATGTCTTTGCCAAGAAAGACCAGGGGATTCCAGAGTTCTATGGAGATGACATTGCCCTGCTGAAGCTGGCCCAGAAAGTGAAGATGTCAACCCATGCCAGGTGCCAGAAGTCTGGGGTGGGAAGACACCCTGCAGAGGTGAGGGTTCTGGGGATACTAAGAGGAAGGGACACTGAGGACAGCCTATGGGACCCTTTTCCCTCTCCTCAGGCCTATCTGCCTTCCCTGCACAGTGGAGGCCAATCTGGCTCTGCGGAGACCCCAAGGCAGCACCTGCCAGGACCATGGTGAGGGGCATGCAGGGCAAAGGGGGATAATCTGGGCTGGGGCTGGAGTGCCCCCGTGGAAGTCTGGATTCTGGTCAAGGCATCAGCACCAACACTCCTTTTCCTTGGCTACAGAGAATGAACTTCTGAACAAACTGAGTGTTCCCGCACATTTTGTCGCCTTAAATGGGAACAAACTGAATGTTAACCTCAAGACAGGGTCAGAGGTGAGACCCTCAGCTCCAGGGTACCGGCCGGGGTGAGGAACCTCTCCCTACCCCCAACACCACCACCTCAGGGCAGCTCCTGGAACATCTCTTTCTCCTCCAGCTCTGCTGCTGTCTCCCTCTGAGCCTGGGCCACCATCCTCCCAGGCCTAGCTCACCAGGAGACGTCTGCAGATCTGCTCATTCTATCCCTCTTTCCTGTTCCACCCCTCCTGCAGTGGACAAGCTGTGCCCAAGTTGTCTCTCAAGACAAAACCACATTCCCCAACCTGACAGATTTCAGAGAGGTGGTGACAGACCAGTTCCTGTGCAGTGGGACCCAGGAGGATGACAATCCCTGCAAGGGTGAGTTCTTCCTCTCCCTCCAAGTCTGAGTCCAACCAGTGCCCCTGTGACCAGTATTTGTGCTAGGTCAGCTCTGTACTGCCCCAATGATGGTAGGGCTGAGTGAGAGTCAAGGGTAACATTGCCTTATTTCCCTCCTTTCCGGCAGGAGAATCTGGGGGAGCAGTGTTCCTTGAGCGGAGATATAGGTTTTTTCAGGTAAGAGAAAAGGGGAAAAACCCGAGGGATAGGCTTACAGGATCTTGGTCTTGGTGGGGAAGGGGACAGGGTGACTGGAACTGGGGCTGGACAGCTCTTCACCCATTCTCTGCCTTCCTCCAGGTGGGCCTGGTGAGCTGGGGTCTCTACAACCCTTGTCTTAAATCTGACAAAAACTCCCGAAAAAAGGCCCCTCGTGGTAGGATACCACCACCAAGAGACTTCCACCTCAGTCTTTTCCGCCTGCAGCCTTGGCTGAGGGAGCACCTACAGGGGGTCCTGAAATTCTTGCCCCTCTAATACTGGCTGCTGAGGTTTAGCTGACCCCTCAGCAATCCTGCCAGGATCTTCCATTCCTGGTCCCTCCAACCCTTGAACGCCCACTGCAGACCTTGTGACCCAGCCTCTCAGCCTTCAGGATCCCAGCAAGAAAAACAGTCAAGCTGGGGAATCCCCAGGGCTCTCACCAGAGCCTTTGCCTTTGCACTGGTCTGCATCTCCCCTCTCTGCCAGCACCAAAAATCCCTCCCTCCCTTGTAATGTTCTCACTTCTCCTTTCACTTTGACATGGAATTTCCCAGTCATGAAATTAATAAAAGTCTATGATTTCCACATCCACCTGTCCTTTGCCTGGGGGTCAGTCAGGCTCCGGTTGGTGTGGGGGGAGGCATGGACAGGAAGGCTGGGATGATTCCAAGAACTTTGGGAAAGCAGGTCAGAGACCCTTCAGGACAAACAGCCCCTGGACTTTGCCCTGTCATCTAGTCTACACAGTCCACAGGGGAGTTAACTGGGCAAAGTGTGTGTGTGTGCTAATTTCTGTCTTTTTGGGTTTGTTGGAGAGTACTCCTGGTGTGGTGCTGTTGGATAAGCCCTGAACTACAAGATAGGTGGTTCAAATCCAATAGCCGCTCCTCAGAAAGCCTATGCAGGGTTACTATGAATTGGAACTCAATCAATGACACTTAACAACAAGAAGTGGGGCTGAGGGGGACGTTGACCAGAGAACTCTGGAACATGAGCAGCCAAGGGTGGGGCTTGTGTCATTTCTATTTTCTTGGCTGGCAGCTCTGTGGGGCCCTCCCACTTGGACATTCCGGAAAGTGATGTGGGTGGGGCAGGCGGGGTAACCTGTAGATGCCAGAGGAATATTGCATAAAAGGCTGGGGGCTGCTGGGAGCAGGGAAGGGAGAGTGCCCAGGCCTAGGATTCAAATTTCAGCATTGACACTGACCAAATAGATCCTCAGCATAGACCACCCTACCGGGATAGGCCACCCTACCCTACTCTAGCCTATTCTCTCCTGTCTTCCATCACCATGGGGCGAACTCTCAGCCCCCATCTCTGCCTGGTTCCCTTGGTCCTGGGCCTCTTGTCTGGAGGTAAGTGAGGTCACCTCCCCCAGTATCCCTCCTCAATCTTGACCTGACCTTTCTGGTCCAGATGTAAACCTCCTTTCTCTTCAGGTGTGAGCACGACTCCATTGCCTGACGCCCAGCCCCAAAGCCTCTGTTCCCTGGAGGGGATAGAGATCACCGGGGGCTCTTTCCAGCTCCTCCATGAGGGCCAGGCACTGGAGTACCTGTGTCCCTCTGGTTTCTACCCATACCCAGTGGAGATTCGGATCTGCAAATCCTCTAAATCCTGGAGCCCCCTGCAGACCCATGACAAAAAGATTGTCAAGAAGGCAGAGTGCAGAGGTTGGAGGGACGTGGTGAGGGTGGAGGTGGATTTAGGGATGGATGGAGCAGGGGGCAGCCAAGGCTGAGACTGGATGGGATTAGAGTTGTGTTGAGACCAGGCAGGCTGGTTGGAGGGCTGGAAATTGTTCTAGGGGATGTGAGAAGGAGGAAGGAGAGCAAACATTTACTAAACACGTACCCTGTGCTAGGCAACCCTAGTAGTTAAAGGACAGCTCAGAAGCAGGGATAGAGAAGCAGCCGGATTGCCTACGATTGAAGGATAGAAGGTAGTTGATGCTACTCATGATGGACTGGGAAGACAGTGTTTCTCAGTGATGGGGACTCCGAGACCAGGAGGGATACCCTAAAAGGCAGCCTTTGCATCTTGGTGAATTCTACTTGCCCTCTACCCCAAAGCGATTCGCTGTCCAAGACCACAGGACTTTGAGAATGGAGAGTTCTGGCCCCGGGCCCCCTACTACAATGTGAGTGATGAGATCTCTTTCCAATGTTATGATGGCTACACTCTCCGGGGTTCTGTCAACCGCACATGTCAGGTGACTGGCCGGTGGGATGGACAAACAGCCATCTGTGACAATGGAGGTGAGGCAGCTCCCCTTCCTCCGTAACATTGCCCTCTCTCACTGAGGAGCTGATACCCAAATGCCTCAGACTTTGGCCCTCACCTCCATGTCTTGTGCTTCTGCAGCGGGGTACTGCCCCAATCCAGGCATCCCTATTGGCACAAGGAAGGTGGGCAGCCAGTATCGCCTTGAAGACAGCGTCACCTACCAATGCAACCGGGGGCTCACCCTGCGTGGTTCTCAGCAGCGAACATGTCTGGAAGGTGGTTCTTGGAGTGGAACTGAGCCTTCCTGCCAAGGTGATCCATGACCTGTGTCCCCATATCAGATTCTGTTCTCCTGTTCTAATGTCCCCATACCAGGTTGCTGTCTTCTCCCCCTACCTCAAACCAGCTACTTTCTGATTTCTTCCAAAATTGCCTATTGAGCTTTTGTTACTTCTGAGCACTTTGCATGCTGGAAACTCACCATCTCTGTCTGACCCCATGACATTTGACCTGATTTCTGATCTCTCCTCAGACTCCTTCATGTACGACACCCCTGAAGAGGTAGCTGAAGCCTTTCTGTCTTCCCTCACCGAGACCATAGAAGATGCTGATGCTGAGGATGGGCACAGCCCAGGTTTGAAGGCAAAGATGGGAGGCAGGACTGGGAACTGGGGAAGAATGAAAAGGTGAAGAACCAGGTATGCTGAGCTTGATCCTGTCTTGGGGAACCTAGGAGAACAACATAAGCGGAAGATTGTCCTGGACCCCTCAGGCTCAATGAACATCTATCTGGTGTTGGATGGATCAGAAAGCATTGGAACCAGGAACTTCACAGGGGCCAAGAGCTGTCTCAAGAGTCTCATCGATAAGGTAGCGCTCTCTCTTCCCCATGTAATTAGTAATAATTTGTCGCTGAGTTGGCTGTGATTCATGACGACCTCATGTCAGAGGAGAACTGTGCTCCATAGCATTTTCAATGACTGATTTCTCAAAAATACATCACCAGGCCTTTTTTCCAAGGTGTCACCCTGAAAGGGCCTTGCTACTTTTCCAGAGCTAGCTCCCTGCTGCCCCCAGCTCTCTGAGCTACAGAAAATTTCCAGGTGCTATTCTGTCCTTGCCTTTTACCAGAAGCAGTTTTGTTTTTTTTTTAAACATTTAACATATTCCTCTGTGACCCGAAGGGTGACCAGTCAGTCCTTGAGCCTCTTGCTATCTGACCTTCCCTATACCAGCAAAGTTCCTGATTTGTCATAGTATTCTTATGTCAATATCCACAAACCCTTATTATCCTCACCCACAGGTGGCAAGTTATGGGGTGAAGCCAAAGTATGCTTTAATAACCTATGCTACAAACACCAATATTTTGGTCAGAGTGTCTAATCCAAAGAGCAGTGATGCAGAATGGGTCTTGGAACAGCTCCAAAAAATCAGCTATGAAGGTCAGACATTAGGGAGAATGGTGGGAAGTTCTCTTTAGGGTGAGAGCAGTCAGAGAGCTTCAGGGGTATAGTATGTTTGTGTAGGGGATGGAGCAGGGAGTACTACTTTATAGTCAAAGGGGAGGACAGTAGGAGCAGTGGGAGAATGAAAGCTAGTAGAAATCTGTTTGGGGTTGAGAGGACGGCTCTGTGGTCAAAAGAAAATCAGTCAGGGGCGGGAGGGCGTGGAAGTAACAGCAAACACAAAGTTGAAAGACGTGGGATCCCAGGGGCTCATCGGCCTCTGGGGCTCACAAACGGCTTGGAAGACCAAGTGACCTCTTACCTCTCTATAGACCACAAGTTGAAGGCTGGGACCAACACTAAGAAGGCCCTCCAGGCAGTGTACAGTATGATGAGCTGGCCAGGGAATACACCCCCTGAAGGCTGGAACCGCACCCGCCATGTCATCATCCTCATGACTGATGGTTAGATGGTACCTTGCTTCTGCCCTAGACACCCCACTTTCTGACTCCAGTACATGGCCCTTAAGTCCACATGCTCAAGTTCCTACACTAGAATCATGGTTGTGACTCTGAATACTAATTTTATCTGGTTGTTGAGCTCTTCTGCGACCCTTTATAAGGATTTCTTCTCCCCAAAGTCCTTTGTCCAATCCACCCAGCTATGCATGTCACTACCTATAGCCAATTAGTTTTCCTTGATCCTTCCTTATCACCCACCTTTGTGGTCCCCATTTTTTCTTCAGGCATGCACAACATGGGCGGGAACCCAGTTCCCATCATTGATGACATCCGGAACTTGCTGGACATTGGCAGGGACCGCAAAAACCCAAGGGAAGATTATCTGGGTGAGTGAACCGGTCTAGAATCCAGCACCTGCTTCCACGGCTCCAGCCCCCTGGGCTTTGCCTCCCTTTTCCCATCTCATGAATTATTTCATTTATTCCTCACATTCCTCTTGCTCCTCAGACATCTATGTGTTTGGGATTGGGGCTCTGTTGAACCAAGAAAACATCAATGCTTTGGCTTCCAAGAAGAATAACGAGCAACATGTGTTCAAAGTCAAGGATATGGAACACCTGGAGGACGTTTTCTACAAAATGATTGGTAGGAAGATACCATGAGGTCATAAGACTGTCAGGAAACCCTATCTCCCCAGACCCTCTGATGCCACTCATTCCTCTTCTGCCCTTGGGACTCTAGCAGTCTGGTAGGCCTTTCCCATCTTTCCTCTCCTCCCTGTCACTATTCTTGTTTTCTGGAACTCTCTCATTTCCTGATGATCTTAGAATCATAGAGCTCTGTGCATCTTCAGAGATCTTTCTCATGTCCCTCATTTGACAGATGTGGGAATTGAGGCCGCCAATAGGTCAAGGGGCAGTGAGCTAGTGAGAACTGGGCCTGGAAACAGCTGGGTCTCTGATCTCAGCCCCAAGTTCTTTTCATACTACAGTGGTTCCTTGTCTAACAAGAAGAAACAAATACTCCTGCAGCTCCTCTACATAAACATGTGTCCCTCCTCAAAAGGCTGCTGTCATTTGGGAATTAAACCCCCCATTTTCAGCATGTTCTCTTATCTGCCAGATGAAAGCGAGTCTCTGGGTCTCTGTGGCATGGTCTGGGAACACAGGGAAGCTACAGATTACCACAAGCAACCATGGCATGTCAAGATCTCAGTTGTCGTAAGTACAGCATCCTAGTGTGGGGACTTGTGGGAAATGAGGTCAGAATGAAATGGAGGTAGGGTAAGGAAAGGCACAGGATAGAATGTTCTTAACAGTGTGGTGTTTGCAAAAGTTGATTTTTCTCTTCCACTGTGTTCCTAGCGTCCTGGGAAGGGATTTGAATACTGTATGGGGACTGTGGTGTCTGAATACTTTGTGCTGACAGCAGCACACTGCTTCACTGTGGAGGATGAGAAACACTCCATCAAGGTCAGCGTGGCTAAGGATGCAGGTAAGGATGCAACAAATGGAGCCTAAGTGCTAGTCATGTTTTCAAGACCTCACACTCCACCCATGCTTAATGCAGCGCCCTCCCTTGTAAAGTAGATCAGCCAAGGATAGGGAAGACTTGAAGTTGGGGTGAGATGGGGCAGTGGCTGCCCAGAGAGAAATATCCACTCTCCTCCTACAGCAACAGGGAAGCAGCAGGACTTGGAGGTAGAAGAAGTCCTATTTCACCCCAAGTACAACATCAATGGAAAAAAAGCAGAAGGGATTTCTGAATTTTATGACTATGATGTTGCCCTGATCAAGCTGAAGAAGAAGCTGAAGTATAGCCAGACTCTCAGGTGAGAACACCTGGGCTCCCCAGGAAAAATTGCTGGGAAAAGTGGGGCTGGAAGACGGAGGCTGGGGTCAGCCCTCCTGACTTTTCCCCTAACAGGCCCATCTGTCTGCCCTGCACTGAGGGAACAACTCGTGCTCTGAGACTCCCTCAATCAGCCACTTGCCAGCAACACAGTAAGACATGTTCAGAGGGAGGGGCATGGAGATTCTCAGATGGGGGTGGGAGGGCCCGTGTGAGCTGCGCCAGTGGTGGTGTCCCCTAGCTCATAGACTTCTTAAAGGGTATCTGCCGAATGACCAAAGCACTGTGGAAGGAAGGGAGCTTGTGATAACCCAATGCTCAATTATCTAGGGGACATGCTGCTCCCTGTGAAGAATGTCAAAGCTCTCTTTGTGTCTGAGGCATGGATTAAGGACAAGAAAACATTGGTTCGGAAAGAGGTCTACATTAAGAATGGAGATAAGGTGAGGAGTCTGGGATTCAAAGGAGGTGGTCCCCTAGGCCCCAATCCTTCCAAAGCTCAGCTCTGCTTATTATCTCTTCTCCATCCTTCCCCCCTCACCTACAGAAAGCCAGCTGTGAGAGAGATGCTCTCAATGCCAAAGGTTATAACAAAGTCAAGGGCATCTCGGAGGTGGTCACCCCCAGATTCCTTTGCACTGGTGGGGTAGAACCCTATGCTGACCCTAATACTTGCAAAGGTGAGAGGTTTTTTGGTTGTGCTGCAAGTTCCCAAGGTCCAAGAGTCCTTTTCCCTACAGCCTCTGTTCCCCTGCAGGTGATTCTGGTGGTCCCCTGATTATTTACAGCAAGAGTCGCTTCATTCAAGTGAGTTTCCCTCTCTTATCTGTGGGGAGAAGCCGAGTGGCCACCATAGGTCACACAAAACAGGAAGGCGGCTGGGGAATGAGGGGCAATGCTTGGCTCCTTTTAGGACTAGTTCTTGGACTGGCTACTTCAGCATCATGTGTCTGGCCTGTGTCAGGACTAAGCTGATCTCAAGTCTAATTCTTTTGGATCAGCTCAGATGAACTCAGGAGTAGCCTGAGTAGGACTAGGAAGGAATGCTAACAAATGACCCAACGCACTTCCTTCCTCTCTTCAGGTTGGTGTGATCAGCTGGGGTGTAGTGGATGTCTGCACAGATCAGCTACACCAGAAACGAAGCCAGCAGAATGTACCTGCTCATGCCCGAGACTTTCACATCAACCTCTTCGAAGTGCTGCCATGGCTCAAGGAGAAACTCAAAGATGAGGACCTAGGTTTTCTATGAGGGGTTTCCTACTGCAGAGAGGCATGGGCTATAATTAAAACAACTATGACAATATCTTGTGTTCCGGATCCTTTTGGGGGAAGGGAGCGGGAAATGTGTACTAGCTGTGTTGTTACAGTTGCAGTGAAATGCAATAGCCGTTTTTAAAGGCTTATCCCCCAACCCACGTGCTGAAAAACCAGAGGCTGAGGGAGCTTCCACCTCAGTGTTTTACTGAGACCAGCATTGGGGGCATATGAGGCACAAAGAATCCAGCTCCACTCCCTAGAAGTCATCCGCAAGGTTCTCCTCGTAAATGTCATCGCTGTAGATAATCTGGGTCCTCTTGTCCTGGTGGCAACCCTTAGGGCTGTTCTGGACAGCTAGGAAGGGAGGAGAGGGGCAGTTAATAGTCGGAAGATCACTGGTCAGACCAGAGTCTGACCTTAGAAACCCAGTTTTTATGCTGCCCTCTAGTGGCCTGGGCTGGTCTCCCCCAAGCTCTCTGGGGCTGTGGTGGCCAACCCATTGTCACAGCAAGGAATGCAAGCTGTTACTATGGCACTGGATGAATGCGTTGGTCTTTGAAAAACCCAAAATGTTCTCATTGTTAAGACATGTGAATGATGTTAACCCACTACTTTCAGTCAGTGTGTGAAAAATTAAAAATCGGAAAACCTTGGTAGATACATTTGGTCAATTCTGGTTCCTTTCATTTAGGGGAAATCCATTTCCAGAGAAAAGGGTCCTGGTCAAGTTATTTCACAGAGAAATGTTCCTTTCTTCACCAGGGAAACTCATGTGGGGTACAGCTTTGGCTCTAAGCAGTCTACTGCTTCTTCCCTCTCCTCCTGCAGCACCCAATATGTCCCCCTTTCCATCCCATCTCCAAGGATTCTATCCCCATTATTCCAGTGCTAAAGTGAACCGCACTGCTCCCTCTTCCACCCCCCACCCAGTTCCCATCTTTTGATCTTGGTACCTTGTCTTCTGGTGCTGCTCCCAGCCCAGCTCTCTGGCCCTCCCTTCCTTTTGTCTCCTTGCTACATCCTCAACTTCAGGCATATTAGGGACATGTGGAGCATGAGAAGTCCAACCCCTAACATATTCCCCCAAGCAGTTCAGGGTCATCCCCCTATTCCCTAAATCAGTTACCTCTGTTGACACAAACATTTTGCAGCCACCCTTTGATACAGAGAACTCAAATCTGTGTTTTCATTCCTCATCTCACAAGTGTGTTCCTGATATCTGTTTGAAAGCTTATGAAATCCCTGTACTCCATCTCAACATAAACAAGGCCACATGAGATCCATCTTCCTTACCAACCTGACTCTGGATCCCATTTTCTTCATTACTCCAGTTACCCCTTTAGGAATCACCTGCAACTCTTTTATCTTCGTCCCCTACAATTAATGGACAGAGGGTCTGACAATTCTCCTTCCCATTCCCACAGCCTCCACACAAATCCAAACCTCTATCACCTCTAGGAAGCCCTGGATATTTAGGAGAACAGAAAGAAGGGGTGAGCTATGGGTAGAGAGGACAAGAAAGGAAGAATCCCACTCTTACCGAGGGAGCCCCAGACAGAATTGCCAGTGGCGACGTCCAACATGGGCTGTTTACGGGCAATGTTAACTTTGAGCTGTACGGACTCCACCTGAGTCCCATTAAGCTAGGGCAAAAGAGAGAAGGGAATAAAGAAAACATTACACACGAGCCAAAGAAGAACTTCCATGGGTTGCCATTCTAGAAGCAGACTGAGTATGGGGTCGGAGAATACGTTTCCTGTGTGAACAGGAAGGAACTTTTTCTGTCAGGAGGAACTTATTTCCTCCTGGCTCCTAGCATTTTGAGGAGGAGACATGAAGATGGCAGAAGGGATGGAAAGGACAGATCTGGGAAGTCCCAACCTCAGCAACGGCCTGATCTGCTGACTCCATCTTTTCATAGGTGACGAAGGCACAGCTGGGATGAGAGAAAACAGGGTCAGCAGGGGATCTAGGGCCCAGTCAAACCCAGCACACACAGGCCACTGGCAACAGGCTGGCTCCCTCCCCAAGGGCTCATCACCTTCCCCAACACCACTCTTACTTTCTGGGTGGGTCCATGGAGAGGTCAATGATGTTTCCAAAGGGAGCAAAGGCCCAACGGAGAAGGGTGGGTGTCATGTCTTCTCCGTACACATAGAGAGTATTCCCTTTTCGAGGGGTCCGGCGTTCAGGGAACGAGTCGGACCCTATGGGAACAGGAATCAGCCAGAAGCCACCACCCACCCTATTTTCTACTTTAAAATACCACTTTAAGTCTAGCTGAGGTTCCCTTCCCCACCAGACACCACTCACTGCGGAAAGGGCCCTCTCGTTCTCTATCCCGATTTCTATCACGCTCGGGGTCCCGGTCCCGGTCCTGGTCGCAGTCCCGGTCCCGGTCCCGCTCTCGGTCCCGTTCTCGATCCCTGTCCCGCTCTCGATCCCTGTCCCGTTCTCGATCCCGCTCTCTGTCTCGAGTTCGCTCCCGCTCTCTGTCTCTTTCCCGGTTCCGTTCGCGACTGTGGTCCTGGCTACGACTCCGGGGAGGGGAGGCTGAGGAGCGGGCACCACCACGTTCTTCATAGCCCCAGTCAAAGCTCCGAGGGGGGCCATCACCAGTCCCTGGGCCCTCAGACTCTTCCCCATCTGGCCCCAGTTCACAAAGCCAGTCACTGGAGGACACAAAGCTGGGGACAGGCAAACAGTGAGGATCAAAGAATGCCTTGATTGCTTCTTCCCAAACCTCTGAAGATCCTAAAGCACCTCTGTGGTCCCGTCTCCTTTGTTCCAGCCCCAAACCTCCCAGGGACTCATGCAACTCCCCGCTTCTCCACCCCTTGCCAAGTGGGACTGCACTCTCTAACCTCTCATACAGAGATTTCCTCTGGGGACGTCTGGATGACTGAAAAATGAGACCAAGAACAGGTTAGATGATTCCTAGCTGCTGGCATGGGTTTTTCATCCTCCTCAATCCCCAGCCCCACCTCCCCAGTCCCTAAGGAAAAACAACTGGGAACCATTACCTCTTGCAGATCGTCGTCAGCAGATATGCTTCTCTGGAATGGCTGGAAAGTGGGGGCTGGCCCCTTCTCAGGGTCCTGGAGAGTCAGAGAGACCCACCTTAGTGGGAACAGAAGACTACCCAGCCACAAGACAGAGTGATTCCTCTTCCCTCCCTCACCCTTTTCTTGGTTTCCTCATCTTGTTTTAGTTATTTCTGCTCTATTTTTATTGATTATGTGGTAATTTTCTAAGGTCCCAATATACATCTAAAGTATGTAGTATGTAAATAAACCTTTCTTGAACCTGACATTTTCAACTAGCTCAAGTCCTCAGAGCAACATATCCCAAGAGTTACTGTCTGCCCGTAGTGGTCTAGAGCCACAGAACGTGTTACGATGAAGGGGAGTTGAAGGCCAGCAGATGGCATTAGGTTTATGGATGAGGATCCAGAAGCTCAGCATAGTACAACAATTTGTCCACGACTGAACAATCCGTACTGTTACCTTTCTGCCTTACTCTCCTCTATACCAACCCAGAGGAAGCTTCTCTGAAGTCAAGGGTCCCTGAACAATTTTTTTGCCTGTGCTCACCTTTAACTTCCCCTCGAGGGTTCGAGAACGTTTGAAGCCTGAGTTCTTGGTCTCGGCCTTGATGGCACTGATGGCTCCTGATTTTACCAGCTGCTTTGCCTGCTCTGTTGCTGTGGCTGTGTCCACCACCGGCTGCTCGGACAGAGCTGGAGCAGTGGGGGAAAGAGGCATTATGTTGTTCAGACTGTGATAGAGCTCAGTCCCAGATTGCCCACTTCCAGTTCACCCTTATCTCCCCATCACTCACAGCGTTTGACACCACCTTGGCTGGCTGTACTGCTGCTACTTTGCTTCTTCAGGGCCAGCAGTGCCTTTTTCTGGGAACAAGTTTGAGAGGAGTTGGTGAGGGCCACTGCCTAGCCAATCCTCTCCCAGAGTCCCTAGGAATATCACTCTTGGAACACCTTTCTCAGAGGAAAGAATGCAACAGTGCTCCTTGGAGTTGTGCACTGAGGCAGCCCTGTCTTTTACACACAGCCCCCAGATCTACAATGCCAGTAATACCCAACCTATCCAAATCATAGTATCCTGAGGCTTTCCAGAATCTCTCAATGTTGAAGTTAGAGACAAGGAGCTCATTCACTGATCTAAGCTGCAGGTAATTATAAGCCTATGTAACCTTCTTGAGGGCTTTGTTCATTCATTCCCCATACATTTAACAAGGAGGATCCACTATGACGTTGTAACAAGATGTGATCCTAAGGTGTGATCCCTCCCCTCAAGAAGCCTGGTGGTGGTGGCGGCAGTGTGCCGTGGAGTTGGTTCCGACTCATAACCACCCTGTATAGGATCCGAGGCTGTAAATCTTTATGGGGGCACAAAGCCTCATTTTTCTCCAGTGGAACAGTTGGTAGCCCGACTCATAACCACCGTGCTACTGGAGATCCCTACAGGCTTAGAAATACAATGACCACACCAAATTGGCAGAAGTGCCTTGAAGAGGTGGCCATCACTTGCAGCTGAGGAGTATAGTAAGGTTTTACTGATAAGCAATGGCTATTAAATTGGGTTCTAAATAGAACCTATATAGCACCTTGATGTGAAGGGACTCAAACACAAAGACAACAGCAGCAAAGATACAGAGATAAGGCTTTAGGAATGTATGTTTGGAGGTTGGTGAACAGTTCTCTAGAAAGGGATGTCAAGCTAAGGCCAAAGAGCTATGTTTTACAAACATGAAGTCATGGATTTTGAGAGAGAAAAAAAATAAGAGGGATACAGTTTTGTACTTTTTCAACAGACCATTTGATTAGGAGTAAAAAGGTTAGGAGTAAAAAGAAATTTGTCAAAACAAGAAGAATAAAAAGGCCTAAGAAACTTGTTGAGAGAACACCACAACAACCTAGATGAGTATTGTTGTTGTTAAGTGTTGTCGAGTTGGTTCAGACTCACAGTGACCCTATAGAGGGTTTCCAAGGAGTGGCTGGTAGATTTGAACTGCCAACCTTGTGGCTCAAACGGACCTTGCGGTCCAGTGCATTATCCTGCAGCACTACACCAAGACTCTTAGGTGACTGTTAGAAAAGACCAAATCTCAGGAATATAAATGTCAGAAATTACTTTAAAAGGAAAATCAAGATGGCTTAGCTATGCAATTAATTATTGGAGAAGTCAGAGATGAGATTTCAGTCCAAACACAAGGCCAGTCCTCTTTGCAAGGTCAAGAAAAGGAATCATAATAAGACAAAGAAAGAAAGGTTTCAATTCTGGGTGTCTGAAGAGTTATCAGTAAGGGACTGGCTGGAACTGGAAAAACCAAGTTTGGGTGGGGGGGGGGATCACCAGTTCACAGAAGTGCTAAAAACCATAGGAAAAGAAAACAACTCCATGACACATTGCAGGGAAGTGAAAAGCTACACTTGAGAGCACCCCACTTTTGGAACTAAGTAGAGAAGCGGTAAGTCTCCAGATATGAGCCAAGAGGAAGCCTTGATCCCCTCACAGTCACCCCAGGTGTTCCTCAGATTGCCAGTCTGTGAAAGGTTGCGCCATGCCCACACTCTCTCACCTTTTTCTTGAGTTTGTTGAATTTCTTTTGCAGAGCCTCCTCCTCCTCGCTCAGTCCGGGGGGTATCACTAACATGGTCGCTCCTGGTACAGAGGTAGGGCTCAAAACAGAAATTTTCCAGGGTTCACAAGCCTTCCACACTGTACCCAAACCCACCCTCTGGATCTATCTAGCTATTCTTGCCTTCAGCGTCTACCTACCCCGAGTTTAACCTGGCTGCCGTCTAAGTCCTCGTTCGTTGGGATCAACGGACATGCCCTCCTTGCTTTTGGGGGCGGTCACAAAAAACTGAGGCTTAGGGGGTACCACGTGGCCCCCGGAAGGTCAAACATTCCCTCCGACGCTGTGACGATGGCACTTGAGTCCCCTACCCCCGCTAGGGTTAGTATGGTAACCGTGGGGTGTGACGGCAGAAGAGGCGGAGGAACCCGCGCGGCTCTCTCAGAGCAATGTAAAAGGGACGAAGAAAGAAGGGGTCCGGGAAAAACGGGGTAAAGGATGAGGCAGTGAAGGCCTACCTGAGGGGGCGGCAACCGGGGGCCCACGATCCCGGGCAATGCCCGAGCGGGCCGCAGATAGCGGGCTCAGAACGATGACGTAGAAGGGGGCGGAAAACGCGGTAACCAAGGCGGCCGAGGGTGCAAACACTTCCGCCCGGCCTTCCAGTGTTCCAGGTCTGCCCCTTGGTTGTGTTTGTCCACGTCTCCGGCGGTGGCTGTGCCGGAAGTCACCTCCACTTCCGCCCGTTCCGGGGCGGGACTTACTCCGCAGCTACTAACTGCATTTTTGGGCTGCGGGGCACCTGCGTTGCCACCAAGATGTTGGAGACGGAACGATTAGGTGAGGAGGACTGCATGGATCGGAGTAGTAGAGAGGGAATGACACTTGGCTTCTGACCTCTACTCTTTTTTTCCGTAGTGTTACCTCCCCCAGGTTCCCTGGACTTGCCCCTTCGGGCCATGGAGCTGGGATGCACCGGGCACTGGGAGCTGCTGAATGTGCCTGGGGCTCCAGAGAGCACCGTGAGTGGCGTGATCCTGGTCTTTGACACTGCACTGAGAAAACCTCCACCTTCTCACAGTAGGGTCCAACCTGATGTCACTCTTCTGCCCCCGCACACCATTCATCCGGGCGTCATGTGGTGCTGGGCAGGCCCCAGCTCAGTGGACTTGTGGTGGGTCAAAGCCCATGTGAGGACAGAAGGCATTGATAGTTGCTCTTTCCAGTGTATCTTTTCTCCTTGTTATTAATTGCCATTGAGTGGTTCTGACTCATATTGACCCTGTATAGGGTTTTCGAGGAGCGGCTGGTGAGTTTGAACCACCGACCCTGTGGTTCAAACTGACCTTTCGGTCTAGTGCTTATCCTACAGCACCACCCAGGACACCATGGAGCTCTCTTTTTCCATTCCCAAACATCAGGGTAGTTGATGGCTGAGATCCTAATGTTTGAGTCCTTGGCTTTTTATCTTTAAGTCTAGGTCTTCTTTACCTAAAATTAGTGACTCAAATTCTCTGGTAGCGTAGTGGTTACGAATCGGGCTGCAAACCTTAAGGTCAGCAGTTTGAAACTACCAGCTGTTCTGCGGGAGAAAGATGAGGCTTTCTGTTCCCGTAAAGATTTACAGCCTCGGAAACTTTGTACAGGGTCGCTATGAGTCAGAAGTGACTCCACAGCACATAACCACCACCAGTGACTCAAATTGCAGTATGCCTCATAATTACTTATGTTAAGTGTCAAGTAGATTCTGACTCATAGCTACTCTGTATAGGGTGTCCGAGGAGACGGCTAGTGAGTTTGAACCACCAGCCTTGTGGTTCAAACTGATTTTTTGGTCCAATGCTTATCCTATGGCACCACATAGTTGTTAAGTGTCTTCAAGTTGATTCTGACCTATAGTGACCCTGTATAGGGCTTGTTAGGAGCAGCTGGTGAGCTTGAACTGCCAACCTTTCAGTTCAAAGCAACTTTGCAGTCCAGCACATTAACCCACAGCACCACACCAGGACTCCATGACACCACATTAGGGGAGCTTTTTTTAAAATTTAAATTCCTAGGTCATTATTGGGTCTTCCCCAGAAATTCTAAATCCCAAATCTGTATGATCAACTCATTACCCCAGGTAATTCAGTGGCAGGTAGTTTTTAGAGAACTCTGGAAAATGTCACTTCAGTCTCACTGTCTTAGTTTTCTGGAATATCTACAGTTACTCATGGTGGGTACAAGAATCCTGGCACCTTCTTTTTTGTCTGTGTATTTTTATCCCCTTTTTTAAATCTCATCTCACCCTTTTTTCAGCTTCCCCATGGGCTCCCTCCTTGTGCCCCAGATCTGCAACAAGAAACAGAGCAGTTGTTTCTGTCATCCCCAGGCTGGTTGCCTCTGCATGGTGTGGAGCACTCAACCTGGTAAGGGGTCTGGAGGGGCCAGGACTAGGGAGATGGGTCCCTGAAGGAAAGAAGACCTGAAAATTACTTTCCTTCTCTTCAGGAAATGGCAGAGGAAGCTGGATCCCTGGTCTCTCCTGGCTGCCTTGGGGGCCCCAGTCCCCTCCGACCTGCAGGCCCAAAGACACCCAACCACAGGCCAGATACTGGGCTACAAAGAGGTAAGAGGTTGGCGGTTGTGAGACGCAGAGGTGGGAGAAAGGGGTCTTTCTCTGCCTCACTGGAGCTCTGGTCTTTTGTCTCAGGTCCTGCTGGAGAACACTAACCTAACGGCCACGACCTCCTTGTCTCTTCGTCGACCCCCAGGGCCCCCCTCACAGGCCCTCTGGGGGAATCCGACACAGTACCCTTTCTGGCCAGGTGACTTGTGGGAACAGAACAGTAGGAGAGGGCTGCTTAGTCTCCTGAGAAGGGTGCTCCTGCCATTCCCAGTTAGCTCCATACCATGAGTCCCAATCGATTCACCTCCCCGCCAGGTGGAATGGATGAGCCCACAATAGCAGACCTGAGCACTAAGGAGGAGGCTGAGGAGGAGATAGACTTTGAGAAAGGTAAGGTGGTCCCAGAACCGACCCTTGGGAGGTAGGGCTCCAAGTCTGTGTTCTGAGGATGAGGGCTCCAGGCCTGTTACTGACTGCTGGTCACCCTTCTGTGCCTTTGAGCAAATTCAGAAAAGGTGCCTCTGCTACAACAATCTTACCTGTTCTGTGTTGGAAAACTGTTCTGCCAGCAATCCCTGTCAATACAACTGTGAATGGTATCTCTCGAGTTTGGGCACTGTGTGACTCATACAACACTGCACAGTGCCCTTCCCTCTCTCCCCCTCTCTCTGTCCTCCAGATCTCCTTACTGTCCCACCAGGCTTCAAGAAAGGCGTGGACTTTGCACCGAAGAGTGAGTCTTGGTTTGGAGCTGGGAACCTAGGAGAAGGGGTGCTCCTCTGTCACAGAAGGAAGATGGAAATGACAAATTGTCACTTTTTCCTTGGTCCTCAGATCACCCGGCTCCAGCTCCTGGGTTGCTTAGTCTCAGCCGTCTGCTGGAGCCCCTGGATTTGGGTGGGGGCGATGAGAACGAGAGTGAGGCAGAGGGACAGCAAGGAGGTCCCCAGGGGGACACTGTGTCAGCATTTCCGTGCAGCGCACCGTTACCTCGAGCAAGCAGCTTAGAGGACTTAGTGTTGGAGGTTGGTGGTTCTGGGCAGCAGAGGAGGGAAGGGATGCCTGACTCGGGAGGGCCAAAGGGATGGAACAGAACATCTTTCAGGAGGAGTGGGAATGGAGACTATCTGGCTGCATCTTTTCTAGGAAACTTTCACAGCTGCATCTGCCCCAGAGACCCCCAAGCCTCCCGCACAGGAGCAGTGGGCTATTCCTGTGGACGTCACCTCCCCCGTTGGGGATTTCTACCGCCTCATTCCCCAGCCAGCTTTCCAGGTAGTGACCCCAGTCCTCACCTGTTCTTCCTCCAGTGGATCCTGCCTTCCAGTCCACCCCTTTTCTCCTCTCCACCTTCCAGACCAGGCTTATAGCTCAGGCCCAGCCTCTCCTTGCTCTGGTCTCCTCCCACCACCCTGTGTGTCCCTTGAGCAGAGGCAGGAAGGCCTATCTCCCTTCTTCAACGTCCATTTCTCTCTCCCTCACAGTGGGCATTTGAGCCCGATGTCTTTCAGAAACAGGCCATCCTGCATTTGGAACGGCATAACTCTGTCTTTGTTGCGGCTCACACATCTGCAGGGAAGACAGTGGTGGCTGAATATGCCATTGCCTTGGCTCAGAAACACATGACACGGTATAGACCTCCCTTCTCCTGATTCCCTCTTTACCTTCCACCTTCCAGCCCTATGTTTTTGCATCCTTTCTAGACAACATTTCCTCCTACCTCTCTACCTTGTCCTTTCGATGAGAGGCCCGGGGTTGGGTAGGGGAGACTTGAGACGGTGCCTAGAGAGAAACAAGAAGGCATGGGTAGAGAGAGAGGTTAGGAGAATAACCTATTATTAATTTAGCCAGAGGCTGGGGGACAGACTGACTCTGGGGTCCTATTGTGGAGGATGTGAGGGCAGTTGAAAAATGGGTGTGCTTCCAGCAGATCTCTGCAGAATGGCTAACTCCGTGCTTCTCTCCAGTACCATCTATACTTCGCCCATCAAGGCCCTGAGCAACCAGAAGTTCCGAGACTTCCGGAACACATTTGGGGACGTGGGGCTGCTCACTGGGGACGTGCAGCTGCACCCAGAGGCCTCTTGCCTCATCATGACGACAGAGATCCTCCGGTGAGAGATGGCACTCAGCAGCAGTGGGCTTTGGATTGGGTGGAGTCTCGAGCAGATGAGATTGCTCCTGAGAGCATATTGACTAAGGAGAGGGACAAGAGGTGCCGCTGGGCAGTCAGTCTTGGCCTCTTTTTCTAGCTCCATGCTGTACAGTGGTTCAGATGTCATCCGGGACCTGGAATGGGTCATCTTTGATGAGGTTCACTATATCAATGATGCTGAGGTAAAGAGCAAACCCTGACCACAGCAGCCCTTGTGTTGGAACGGTTTGGGGCCTTTCGTGTCCCACATACTTGGGGACCTCTCACTGCCTTCTTTTCCTGCAAATGGGGGAAGAAGGGCAGCCCTCTCTGAGTGCCCCATGACCTGTCTTTGTCCTCTGTGCCCAGCGTGGCGTCGTGTGGGAGGAGGTGCTCATCATGCTCCCTGACCACGTCTCCATCATCCTGCTGAGTGCCACTGTCCCCAACGCCTTGGAATTTGCTGACTGGATTGGGTAAGCTCTGTCTGGGGAGTCTTGGTAGGGGGAGGTGGGCTTAGTATTCCTTGGTCAGGGGACATTAAGACTATACTACAGCAAGCAGGGTGGAGAGGAGACAGCTGTAGGGGAACCTGTCTGACTTGGCGAGCCCAGATCACTTTCCATGTGGATAGATGGGCTGGGAGGAAGCAGCCCTCCAATCTGGCTCCCAAGAGAGCCTAGGTAAAGTCAGAGGGGATGGGACTTCCTTACTATCCTCTCAACGCTGACCTCTTGTCTGCTCCCCACCTCAACCCCCTGCTCAGGAGGCTGAAGCGTCGCCAGATCTACGTGATCAGCACTGTGGCCCGCCCTGTCCCCCTGGAGCATTACCTCTTCACAGGGAATAGTCTCAAGACCCAGGAGGAGCTCTTCCTGCTGCTGGACTCCCGAGGAACCTTCCACACCAAGGGGTAAGCCCAGACATGGGGCAAAGGGCAGGGACTGGGGTCAGGCATGATTGC